CGCTGGCCGCCGTGTCGTCGCTCTTCCTGCTGTCGCTGCTGCTCTTCGTGGCGCTCAGGCTGTGCAGGAGGAGCGGGCCGGCCGCGCTGGGGGTGTGCTCGGCGGCGCCCGAGGGCCCCTTCCCTGCCCACCTGGTGGACGTCAGCGGCACGGGGACGCTGTCGCACTCCTACCAGTATGAGGTGTGTCTCTCTGGAGACTCTGGGACTGGTGAGTTCAAATTCCTGAAGCCGCTATTCCCCAACCTCGTGGGTCTGGACCCTGGTAGAGAAGTTAGAGAGGATCCTAACTGCAGGAACAGCTCTGTGTTCAGTTAAGTTTTGTATGTTGCTCAGTGAATCTATCGTTAGTTTTTGCGTGCTATCAAGTGCAATAAATTTCCTTTTAAATATATTCTTCTTTAAAAAATCTTCGTATTGTTAAAAACCTGTCGATGTCTCTAATAGCACTAAATTTTTTTCTGTTTTACTCTTATCAGTTCCACCCAGTTTTTAGTTATACTGACTACTGTATATTTTCTCCATGTTTGACCATTTAGTGATTATATTTCTACAGCTGTAAGTAACTCAAGAAATGATTTTTTATTTTAGTGAATTTGTAATGGTTTTATTAAACATTTCAAAGCTTCAATGACATCTAGCCTGTATAAGTATTGTTTGTAAATTTCCCCCAGCCTCACCCCTTAATACTGAACTCAATCTCAGCGTTTTCACATCCAACAACATACCTAGGCCTGTTTTAATTATCACTTTAGGGCAATGTGTTGCTGTGTTACTAAATTTCCGACCTTAGGCTCCAACTTGCAATCTTCTTGCCTTGGCTTAACAGAGTTTGCTGGGACCTTTTCAGTTTTGTTTTTTTTTTTTGTGGAAACCGGGGATTGAACTCAGGTCCTTGCGCTTGCCAAGGAAGCGCTTATTCCACTGAGCCATCTCCCCGGCCCCCCTTTTCAGTTTTATTAGGGACAGCATATTTCAAAACTTTACCTTGGCCTTTCTGGTTTACTGTCCTATCAGCTTAAGGCCCCTGAGTAACTAAGAACGTAAAATGCTAGCATAGTTGTTTCTCCAAGTTGTATATAAATATGCACTTCATTAAAATATTACCTTTGTGACCTTTTACCTTTTCTGAGCTCCATTTGTGCTAGGGAGTTTTAAAAAAAATGCTACCTATGTAGCACATGTAAGATTTAATGTGTAAAATAATTCTTATTAAATTGAAATTAAACATAAAGTATAATTTGTCATTCCTTTTATTCTTTTACACTTTTACATCACTGCTTGATATCATCCCTTTTAAACAAAATTTTGTAACTTGCATTGTTCTCTCTTGAGGACATCATATCTTCCTGCTTTGCCTTTTGACTTATGATTAGAAGTCAGTGTGGTTTACTGTGTCCATTTCCTTTTGTTTCCAACAACCTTCTTCCACTTTCTAGAGTGTCAGAAACTTTAACAAATTTAGCCATCTTGTTTAATTCTGATTATTGTATGATCTCAAATTTTTATCTTTTTTGGATGTGCAAAGTATCATCAAAATAATGATTTCTTTGTGATATTTAATTATGCTCTACTTCATTCTTTGAAGTTCAGTTCATTTTTAATTAATTTAATTTTAATTCCAGCTGATATTATATCTGTGTGAAATAAGCATTATTTTTCTCTAAAGATAGAATCAGGCCAGGGAGATGGCTCAGTTGAATAAGTGCTTCCCTAACAAGCACAAGGGCCTGAGTTCAATCCCCGGTTCCACAAAAAAAAAAAAAAAAAAAAATTAGTAATGAATATCTCAATTGTAGCTGTTTTGTATTGTGTTCAATAATCCTACTAAGCTGATTTTATGATTTCTAGATAAAATTTATATGGATGTAACCATGAGACAGCTTCATTAAACTTTTGGTAGAATACAAGCAATTAAAAAGCTAGAAATATATGTAATTTATCTGGCTGTGGTGGTGTTTACCTGTAATCCCAGCACTCCATAGGATTAGGCAGGATGATCTCTAGAAGTTAGAGGTCATTTCGGACTATAAAGTGATTTCAAGGCCACTATGTAGCGAAATCTGAACTATATAGTGAAATCCTGTCTCTAAACCAATATACTTTAAAAAGATTGTAATTTATTTTTAATTAATTAATTATTGGCAGAACTGGGGATTGAACACAGGCCTTTGCACTTGCCAGGCAAGTGCTTATTTTACTGAGTCATCTCCTTGGCCCCTGTAATTTAATATTTATCTCAAGTCTCATCCTATTGTAGTTTAACTTCTTGTGCTTTTCTCTGTATTAATAATTTTCCTAAGGATATAACAAAACAGAATAGCATTGACAATTTAAGTTATTCTTGAAACCGTTCTTAGCCTTCATTCTGTATAAAAATTGAAATGAGGGGCTTGGGATATAGTTCAGCAGCATAAGCACCTGCCTGGCAAGCACAAGATCCTGAGTTTGATCTCCAGTACAAGTAAAATAAAATAAAAAATAAAAATGGAAGGGATGAACCTGACAACAGAATTACACGTAAATATAACACATACAAGTATGGCAGTTGCTGGGGATATGGCTCAGTAGAATAAGTGCTTCCCTGGCAAGCACAAGTGCCTGAGTTCCATCCCCAGTTGCACCAAAAAAAAAAAAAAAAGGAGTTCATTTTTTGAGAAGAAAGATTCATAGAATAGTGTTTGGACAGGATATCCTGTCTGCTTCTTGTATTATGGCTAACCACTAAGATAACAATATACAATGTATTAATTATTGAAAAAGTCCTATTAATCAGCTTTGAAACTGTCTCATTGATATTTGTTTCTCAATAAAATTTAAAAAACAAATATGGCAGTCAACTTTAGGGCTTTATCTATTATTTATTATCAGCTATTTAAAAGTTTTATATGTACACATAAAAATATGTGTATGTGTATGTATACATATTATGTGTAGACATAAAAAATGTAGTGGAATTTTCACCAGAACATGCCAACATCATGAAAATGCAAATTTATTTTTTGACTATGCTAGGCAAGTCCCATTTGTATAATAATGCAAATAAGAGTAGCCAAATAAACTCCCAGAACCCACCTCATCCTTTTGTGTATTTATGTAGTAAGGATGATTCTTTACTAGGTAAAAGCCACCACCAGACTCTAGAAGAGTTCAACATTTTGAAATTCAACATGAAGCTGCCAGCTTTAACTACCAGTAGTACATGTGTGATTGTTCTACTTGGGCTTGTACCACTAGTGGTAGAAATGGATCTAATTATTATTATTTTTTGGATCTAATTATTTTGATCAATATTTTTACTAATAAAACTAATAAGATGCTACCCACTGGGACAGTCATGCATGTATTCTGTGGCTCAAGCTACCTAGAAGTGAACCATAAGAATTACATCATAAAAGTGTTAATAACTAGAATTTAGTAGTAACTGTGATCCAAATATATTCACATACCTTTTGAAAATATCCAAGTTCTATAGTTATAGAATAAAATTAGAGAATGGATATATCTTTTTTAAAAAATTTTATTTTAGTGAGCAAAAATAGCAGTGAAACAGTTTCAAAACAGGTGAGTAGGACAATTACAATAATTAATGCATTGCATATTGTTGTCTTCATAGTAGTTATTCAGAGGACAAGATGCACACATGGTATCTTGTCTATACAATATTAGTACAAAACTTTCTTCTCATTGAACTAAGAGAATGTAGCTGTATATCTACTCTAACTATTTTGTTTTTTTGGGGTTTTTTTTGGCAGAATCGGGGATTGAACTCAGACCCTTGCACTTGCCAGGGAAGCACTTATTCCACTGAGCCATCTTCCTGGCCCCTAGAATATAGATTTTATATCTTTTTTGTTTTTGTTTTTGTTTTTTTGGCAGAACCGGGGATGGAACTCAGGCCCTTGCGCTTGCCAGGGAAGTGCTTATTCCACTAAGCCATCTCCTCAGCCCCACTATTTTGTTTTTTATTCATATACATACAAATAAAGGACTGTTTTGTAATGAAAAAATAAATATCTTGACCATTATAATGATTTAAATGATTTTCTCAAATTCTTCTATTACAAATGGATGTTTTATAATTTATTTGCTGTTTTTAAGCACAACATGTAGTAAGTTTAACACAGGCTATGCTTTGGACAAAATTTCTACTGAAGGCAAAGAAATTCTACTGATGAAGTATACCTTAGTGATAGAGTACTTGCCTAGA